CTGAAGTTCATCATTAAACACACCATTCGCCTCCAATACCTAGGAACTCTTAAGGAGAATGAGATACTACACATTACATCGACGAAAATGAAATCTTGTAAAAATTATTTCAACTGTAATATGTATATTGATTCATCAAAAATAGCCTTTTGCCTTCATAGATTATATTGTACAAAAGCCAGTTCATTCAATAAGGATGTAGTTATAAATTTTCACAATTATTGTTCGCTGAAATTATGTGATCAGGTTCCACTTCATGGGAATGAATTTCTTTGTCCAGCCATTTTTGTCGAAGCTATGGTAATTGACTCCCTATCCAAGTTTCCTATGACAATTTAAATATTGCTATGTGCTAGATGACATCCCCTTTGATGATTGAAAATAGATATCAGACACGAGTGATTTAAATCCCAATACATGTTGTCGGTAAAATATATTCATGTCGGCTTAGTTAAAATTTTAATTTTAATTTTTTTTTGTGTATTTTTAGATGTTTTAATGTAAAAAATGAATTTTAAAAAATAGAATATATTATCTTAATGCTCTTAAATGTACTAATTTAAAGCATCTCTCTTTGTGAGGTTGACTCTTGCCAAATTGCAACAAAGCAACAGAATAGGGCCTGTGTTGTTTGGTGAACCATCCTTTTCCATCAGTTCAAGTTAAATGCCACACACTAAGCGCCAAATAATCTCAGTATTTACTCCATGTCTTCTTCTTCTTTTGATGAAATTCATCCATGAATATAAAGTAAGAAATCTTCCAGCTTTATATTTCATCCAGGTCTGTTCATTTTGTTTGAACATTATATATGACGTATGCCTGTGTTCTTTGTGTAGAATCATTGACGACCATTTCAAAGAAACCAAGATTGAGTTGAGAATGTGAACTCGAGCAACCTCCAGAAGTGTGAAAGGAACATGGCAACTACTAGTTGTTGAAGAACTCAACCCCTACCCAACCATAGTTGTTTGTGCCTATTTAAGGTCCAGTGAAGCGAGCATTGCATTTATGCTTTTTCCCATTTTCCTTTCCTTCCGGCCATTACTGGAAAACTACAGGCCTCACCCTCTGGCATAACTGGACTGGGTTAGAATTTCAATTCTTATAGACTCACACTCGCAGATGCATGTCATGAACAATACTCTCAAGACAAGTTCATCCAACTTTCCCCAGTGAAAAGTAGTTGGATTATAAGTTATGACAAAGTACTAACAGGAAACCCTGTTGGTCCTGTCGTATTTACTAATTGCTAAGTACCACTACACGTATGCTATTTATTATCAAATCCTAGTACAGTTACTATATATAGCATGAGATATATACCAAGGAACTTGTTTCCATCAGAGACAATCTTTTAGGTGACCGTATACTACTGAATTTTACTGTAACTGTGATTGTCATCGTAGTTGGAGTAAAGGAGACTGAACATGGCAATGCATAATTTTAGCCACTGTAAGATCAACTAAACAGAAACAGCAGATTTATGCAGTTTTTTCTGACGGCAAATGGAAACAGATTTAGCTTGTTTTATCTTAAATCTACCTAGTGTGTGTTTTTGTTTTTTAAATGTTTTCCAGCTTGTTTTGATACATTCATATCAAAAATAATTTTTAAAAATATATATAATTTTAATATATTTTCAAATAAAAATACTTTAAAACATAATTATTAACACATTTGTAAACACACCCTACAGAGAGTGTGATCCCTAATCAATGTTCCATTAATTCCCGTTGCATTCATTCTTTTCCCTGACCTATCACATGCTAATAATGTGCAGTGTTGGCCATCGAAATGATTCCGATGAGGAGGAAAAGCATTATTGCCTCCTACACTAATTAAAACACTTCGAGCTTGATGTGGATCTATGTACTTGGTTCTAAGGCTGTCATGACTCATGCATGAGCTTGAGATCATCAGCTGTGAAGGGCTCATGGGCTACGCCATTGCTCATTGGACGTACATCTCTAGTTCAAAATCTCTGTTTTGTACAAATTAGCATGACTGTAATAATTAAGTTTTTTGTATCACATCACCACCACTGTAAGGGCATGCCATTGAGAATGAAAGGCATCAAATAATATTGTACTTCTGTACTTCATTTGGATCCATGCCATTGGCTTCAGCTCTTATTGAAGATATTAAACGCATAAAAGAGTAGCGGCCAAGTGCTCCGAAAAGGAGTGAATGGCTGTGCCACTGAACTAAACGCTTTGATCATTAGCTGGAAAAAAAGCTGTTTCGTTTTGCTCATTTCCATGATAGCGATGCATGCCTTGTCGCTTGCATGTGGTGAGAATTATTTGGGCGATTTCGCTAGGTGCTTAATTACTAGCTTTCAGCTTTAGAGCCACCAGCATTAAAAAATCTTTTAGTACATTACAATTAAATAAAAATAATTCCAACTTTATGTCCTCATGATCATAATTCTTTTTTTAGATTAACATGGGTATTTGGACTAGCTTGCACGTACCACGACTAATCTCACGGGCCCTGAAGTTAACAACCATGTAAACTTCCAGTGGCCATCATATAAGCAACCAAGACCTCGAACCTGAGACTACAGAGGAAGCAAACCTCTTGATCTCAAATTCTTATTACTTGGCCACCATCTACATGATTCTCGGGATCATAATTCTTACCATTATTTCTTGAGGATTTCGATTGTAATGTGATGTCACTGTAGCTATATATATATATATAAAGAAAAAATGACACCAAATATTGGAAAGGGAGGTTTTAGATCTCTGCGTATAAAACCACAAAACTAATTTTTAAAAAAACAAAAAAACCAATGTCAAACAATAATATCATAAAAGAAAAAAAGCTAAAAAAGGAGATATTGACCCGCATTAACTTTTTAAACTTTTGATTTGATTCATTAGACTGAAAATAACATATACAGAAAAATCATTAAGCCTAATTCTTAACAAATCAAATGTTGAAAGATGAGACCAGGAAAAATAATCAATTACATAAAAAGATCTAAAATAAAAAATGATAATTAAAAGAATGACGATGAAAATTTAAATAAAAAATAAATTAGAGGGTAGTTAAAAATTTTTAATTAGAGGGTTAAACTGGAAAGAAAAATAACTTTAACAAAATAAAAAAAATGAGGATTAAATTGAAAAAAATAGTACACCATAAACTTGGATTAAATGATAAAATTAAAACTAACAAAACTTTTATAGAAAAACCAAGGGAAAAATAAGAATAAAAAAAATAAGGATTAAATTAAAAAATATAATATATAATAAATTATAATTGAAGGACTATATTGAAAAAAAAATATTTTACAAAAAAATTAATTAAAAATTAAAATAATAAGATATAAAATTGAAGTATCAACAATAAAAAAGATTAACTTATAATATTTTAAGGAGAAGAGAAAAAATAAAATAAAGACTAATTGATGATAAATCTACTTGCCGTCAGTGAAACAAGCCGCATCAAGAGAAAAAAAATGTACGGCGTCACTTTCAATTACATGACAGAAGAACAAGTTCTGCTATTGAGAGACACTGCAAACATCGTCTAATGTGCACAAATAACTTCCATACATACTAACAACTTTTTCTATTTTAATATTAATTGATCTTATTTAAAAGATTAAATTGCTCTTAATGAATCAGAAAATAACAAAAAATTCAGCTTGAAAAGATGAAAATAACCTTGGGTAGAAGGCAGGTATTTTTTCTTACTTTAAGAGCATTTTAGTAACTTAATTGTGAATTCAAAAGTAAAATTTTTTAACTGCTCCTACATGCAAGGCCTGATTTTATTTTTTTTAAAATCTCCAACGATATTTTTGTCTTCATATTATTCATAAAAAAATATATTAAAAGATCTTACTGCCCCGTCAACCAAGCCAAAGTTTTTGGAATTGAAAGGCGAGACCATAAATTAATTGTCGCCATCAATAGTTCAGGCATGTTTGATACGGCAAAATAAATTATTTTTTCTAAGAATTTTTTATTTTAAAATATATTAAAATAATATATATTTTAAAATTTATTTTTAAATCATCACAACAAAACAATCCAAAAATATTTATAAAAAAATTAATATAAAGGAAAACAAAACTAATTTTAAAAAAAAAACATACTTAAACCACACTTTAAAACACTCCCTGCATCTAAACGTTCAACTTTGGTAAATGGTTACTATTGAAGTTTGAAGATTCAAATGTGTGGTTGATTTTGAAACTTTAGGGTTGATTTTGAAACTCCGACGTTTAAAGTTTTAACATTCATTTTCCAAACGTATACTTGCAACACCGACACAATACAAATTAAAAAAAAAAAAGTTGTTTGTCCAAATTTTATTTTATTTTGCTTAAAATATTTTTTTTTTTATTTTTAAATAAAAAATACTTGAAATATAATATTTATTACACTCTCAAATTAGAGACGGAAACAGAAAATAAAATTAAAAAGAATTAAAATGTTAATTGTTTTATTATTTAGATTAAAAAGATAAATATTGTTAAGAAAATAGTTAAAAAAATTTATTTTACAGAAATTGAGGCCTTACACTAGTAAACTTCATCTAACTTGTATATAAAGAAGAATTATTATAATTTGGAGGTAGAATTATTCATTATGGCATATTAGAGTTTATTTTAAACTTTTATTTTTGTGAAAGTATTTAACAAATACATGTAAATTTATAGAATATTTAATTATTTTTTATATTAAAATGGATATCCGAATCAACTTACGTGTATCACAATTAATCTTACAAGCTCTAAAGTTAATAATCATATAAATCTTTAATAATCATTATATAAATAATCAATAACTCGAATTTAAACTCTCTGATCTTATTATATGGCTACCACCTAAGTATTGCTTGAATGGGTAAATGACATTATATAATGTACACATTACATTTGAGAGAAGATAAAATTGTTAAATTTAAAAGATTAAGAACTCAATCAACTATCAAGAAATACGTGAACGACAAGAGTGAGATTTACTCTTTAGAGTTCAGATTGACTGAGTCAAACGCACAAACTTGGAAATCTATGAAATCAAAGGCCACCCGTGAATGACCGAGCTGCAAGCACTTGGAACTATCGAAGTTTGATCTCCATTTTCCTGTCATAAAAGTCAAAAGTCGTCTCCTTTAACCTTATGCCCCACTCCTTCCTCTCGCTACATATAGCAATCCTAAGATGAAATCTTCAGAACAGCAAACGAAGACCAAACACAAGAAAATGAAACTCCAAGATCTTGTCCCTTTTCTGTGTATCTTCTTCACTATCACAACAGCACAGACAACAATCCAACCAGGCACCACTCTCTCTGCTTCAAACCCAAACCAAACCTGGTCTTCACCAAACAGCACTTTCTATGTAGGGTTTTCCCAATTGGATTCATCTTCGTCTTACACCTTAACCATCAACTACAATGGTGGTGTCCCAATTTGGACAGCAGGCAACTCTACTACCACGGTGGATTCGGAGGGGTCCTTTCAATTCCTGTCCTCCGGCAACCTCCGCCTCCTCAACGGCTCTGGCGCCACTGTCTGGGACTCCAACACTGCTGGACTCGGTGTCACCACTGCTTCACTTGATGAATTTGGTAATTTAGTGTTAAAGAATGGAACTTTACCTGTTTGGTCATCTTTTGATCACCCCTCTGATACCGTAGTACCCAATCAGACTCTTCGTGTTGATCAAGTTTTAAGATCTGGGTCTTATTCGTTTAGGTTTCTTAGTTCAGGAAATCTAACTTTGAAATGGAATGATAGTGTAGAGTATTGGAATCAAGGTAATGCTTCTATTAATGCTAATTTGACATCGCCTACTTTGGGGTTGCAACCAACTGGGATGTTGTCAATTTTTTCTGCTGCTTTTACAAGCGGGCCGCATGTTGTGGCTTATAGTAATGATTACGGTGATGTGGGTACCAGGTTGAGGTTTCTGAAGTTGGATGAAGATGGGAACTTTAAGATGTATAGTACTGATATAGGTAGTAAAACTGCAACTATGGTATGGTCAGCTTTGACTGACCAATGTGAGGTTTTTGGTTATTGTGGGAATATGGGAATTTGTAGTTATAATGAGTCGAGTTCGAGTCCAATTTGTGAGTGTCCATCTGAGAATTTTGAGCCTGTCGATGTGAATGACCGTAGACAAGGGTGTAAAAGAAAAGCTGAGATTGATAGTTGTCCGGGGAATGCTACTATGTTGGAGATAGATCATGCAAAATTCTTGATCTATGAGCCTGAGTTGTCTGCTCAGACCTACTACATGGGAATATCAGCTTGCAGGTCGAATTGTCTTTCTCAAGGTCCAGGTTGTATTGCTTCTACATCTTTGTCTGATGGAACTGGGCAGTGCTACTTAAAATCTCCGGGCTTTATCAGTGGTTATCGGAATCCAGCACTTCCCAGTACTTCGTATGTGAAAGTTTGTGGGCCAGCGCTACCAAACCCTCCACCTGGTGTGCTTACTGAGGAGAAAAGAAGAAGTGGGAGATTTCGCTTCTGGGTTGTTTGTGTTGCTGTTGTGATTACCCTTTTGGGTTTGATTGCCTTGGAGAGTGGTCTGTGGTGGTGGTGTTGTAGAAACAGTCCCAAGTTTGACAGTTTGTCAGCTCAGTATGCACTACTGGAGTATGCATCTGGTGCTCCAGTGCAGTTCTCGTATAAAGAGCTGCAGCGCTCGACGAAAGAGTTTAAAGAGAAGCTTGGAGCAGGAGGGTTTGGAGCTGTTTATAAAGGGGTTCTTGCTAACAGAGAAGCTGTTGCAGTGAAGCAACTTGAGGGAATTGAGCAGGGTGAGAAACAGTTCAGGATGGAGGTTGCAACTATTAGTAGCACTCACCATTTGAATTTGGTTAGATTGATTGGTTTTTGCTCAGAGGGTCGGCATAGGCTGCTGGTTTATGAGTTCATGAAAAATGGGTCTCTTGATAATTTCCTTTTCACTACAGAAGAGCAGTCAGGAAGACTGTTGAATTGGGAGCAGAGGTTTAACATTGCCCTTGGAACTGCAAAAGGAATCACTTATCTTCACGAGGAATGTCGAGACTGCATTGTCCACTGTGACATAAAGCCAGAAAACATTCTTTTGGATGAGAACTATAAGGCCAAGGTGTCTGATTTTGGTCTTGCAAAGCTCATAAATGCCAAGGATCACAGATATAGGACACTGACCAGTGTTAGAGGAACAAGAGGATACTTGGCACCAGAATGGCTTGCAAATCTTCCAATAACTTCCAAAACTGATATCTACAGTTATGGGATGGTTTTGTTGGAGATAGTGAGTGGCAGGAGGAATTTTGAAGTCTCAGCAGCAACAAACCGCAGAAAGTTCTCTGTTTGGGCTCATGAAGAGTTTGAGAAGGGCAATGTTAATGGAATTTTGGACCAAAGGCTTACAGACCAAGATGTGGATATGGAGCAAGTGACGAGGGCAATTCAAGTGAGCTTTTGGTGCATCCAGGAGCAGCCATCTCAGAGGCCAATGATGGGAAAAGTGGTGCAGATGCTGGAGGGAATTGCTGAGATTGAGAGACCGCCAGCACCGAAGGCAATAACAGAAAGTTCTACTACTAGTGGAACGAGCATAATGAGCAGCAATGTCAGTGCTCTCTCAACTTTTGCAGCATCAATTCCAGCTCCCTCATCTTCCTCATCATATCAGACCATGGGAGTTTCGCCTGTAGCTTCAGGTAGAAATATAGAGAGGGCATCTTCATCACTTTTACATTCAGACCCAAACTGAAGTTCATCATTAAACACACCATTCGCCTCCAATACCTAGGAACTCTTAAGGAGAATGAGATACTACACATTACATCGACGAAAATGAAATCTTGTAAAAATTATTTCAACTGTAATATGTATATTGATTCATCAAAAATAGCCTTTTGCCTTCATAGATTATATTGTACAAAAGCCAGTTCATTCAATAAGGATGTAGTTATAAATTTTCACAATTATTGTTCGCTGAAATTATGTGATCAGGTTCCACTTCATGGGAATGAATTTCTTTGTCCAGCCATTTTTGTCGAAGCTATGGTAATTGACTCCCTATCCAAGTTTCCTATGACAATTTAAATATTGCTATGTGCTAGATGACATCCCCTTTGATGATTGAAAATAGATATCAGACACGAGTGATTTAAATCCCAATACATGTTGTCGGTAAAATATATTCATGTCGGCTTAGTTAAAATTTTAATTTTAATTTTTTTTTGTGTATTTTTAGATGTTTTAATGTAAAAAATGAATTTTAAAAAATAGAATATATTATCTTAATGCTCTTAAATGTACTAATTTAAAGCATCTCTCTTTGTGAGGTTGACTCTTGCCAAATTGCAACAAAGCAACAGAATAGGGCCTGTGTTGTTTGGTGAACCATCCTTTTCCATCAGTTCAAGTTAAATGCCACACACTAAGCGCCAAATAATCTCAGTATTTACTCCATGTCTTCTTCTTCTTTTGATGAAATTCATCCATGAATATAAAGTAAGAAATCTTCCAGCTTTATATTTCATCCAGGTCTGTTCATTTTGTTTGAACATTATATATGACGTATGCCTGTGTTCTTTGTGTAGAATCATTGACGACCATTTCAAAGAAACCAAGATTGAGTTGAGAATGTGAACTCGAGCAACCTCCAGAAGTGTGAAAGGAACATGGCAACTACTAGTTGTTGAAGAACTCAACCCCTACCCAACCATAGTTGTTTGTGCCTATTTAAGGTCCAGTGAAGCGAGCATTGCATTTATGCTTTTTCCCATTTTCCTTTCCTTCCGGCCATTACTGGAAAACTACAGGCCTCACCCTCTGGCATAACTGGGCTGGGTTAGAATTTCAATTCTTATAGACTCACACTCGCAGATGCATGTCATGAACAATACTCTCAAGACAAGTTCATCCAACTTTCCCCAGTGAAAAGTAGTTGGATTATAAGTTATGACAAAGTACTAACAGGAAACCCTGTTGGTCCTGTCGTATTTACTAATTGCTAAGTACCACTACACGTATGCTATTTATTATCAAATCCTAGTACAGTTACTATATATAGCATGAGATATATACCAAGGAACTTGTTTCCATCAGAGACAATCTTTTAGGTGACCGTATACTACTGAATTTTACTGTAACTGTGATTGTCATCGTAGTTGGAGTAAAGGAGACTGAACATGGCAATGCATAATTTTAGCCACTGTAAGATCAACTAAACAGAAACAGCAGATTTATGCAGTTTTTTCTGACGGCAAATGGAAACAGATTTAGCTTGTTTTATCTTAAATCTACCTAGTGTGTGTTTTTGTTTTTTAAATGTTTTCCAGCTTGTTTTGATACATTCATATCAAAAATAATTTTTAAAAATATATATAATTTTAATATATTTTCAAATAAAAATACTTTAAAACATAATTATTAACACATTTGTAAACACACCCTACAGAGAGTGTGATCCCTAATCAATGTTCCATTAATTCCCGTTGCATTCATTCTTTTCCCTGACCTATCACATGCTAATAATGTGCAGTGTTGGCCATCGAAATGATTCCGATGAGGAGGAAAAGCATTATTGCCTCCTACACTAATTAAAACACTTCGAGCTTGATGTGGATCTATGTACTTGGTTCTAAGGCTGTCATGACTCATGCATGAGCTTGAGATCATCAGCTGTGAAGGGCTCATGGGCTACGCCATTGCTCATTGGACGTACATCTCTAGTTCAAAATCTCTGTTTTGTACAAATTAGCATGACTGTAATAATTAAGTTTTTTGTATCACATCACCACCACTGTAAGGGCATGCCATTGAGAATGAAAGGCATCAAATAATATTGTACTTCTGTACTTCATTTGGATCCATGCCATTGGCTTCAGCTCTTATTGAAGATATTAAACGCATAAAAGAGTAGCGGCCAAGTGCTCCGAAAAGGAGTGAATGGCTGTGCCACTGAACTAAACGCTTTGATCATTAGCTGGAAAAAAAGCTGTTTCGTTTTGCTCATTTCCATGATAGCGATGCATGCCTTGTCGCTTGCATGTGGTGAGAATTATTTGGGCGATTTCGCTAGGTGCTTAATTACTAGCTTTCAGCTTTAGAGCCACCAGCATTAAAAAATCTTTTAGTACATTACAATTAAATAAAAATAATTCCAACTTTATGTCCTCATGATCATAATTCTTTTTTTAGATTAACATGGGTATTTGGACTATAGCGATGCATGCCTTGTCGCTTGCATGTGGTGAGAATTATTTGGGCGATTTCGCTAGGTGCTTAATTACTAGCTTTCAGCTTTAGAGCCACCAGCATTAAAAAATCTTTTAGTACATTACAATTAAATAAAAATAATTCCAACTTTATGTCCTCAGGATCATAATTCTTACCATTATTTCTTGAGGATTTCCGACTAATCTCACGGGCCCTGAAGTTAACAACCATGTAAACTTCCAGTGGCCATCATATAAGCAACCAAGACCTCGAACCTGAGACTACAGAGGAAGCAAACCTCTTGATCTCAAATTCTTATTACTTGGCCACCATCTACATGATTCTCGGGATCATAATTCTTACCATTATTTCTTGAGGATTTCGATTGTAATGTGATGTCACTGTAGCTATATATATATATATAAAGAAAAAATGACACCAAATATTGGAAAGGGAGGTTTTAGATCTCTGCGTAAATAGGATGTATTACGTGGTTCCTAAGAAAAAAGATACAGGTATACAATTCTATTAATAAACATTTTGAAAATGAGTTTGGCTGTCAAACAAATATTGTACAATATTTATTACTATCACTACATAATTGTGACTTGTTAAACTACTACTCGAGCTAATTTTTTTAAGGTAAAAAAAATATTTAGAAATTATTAAAATTATTTTGAAGTAAGTTTAAAGTAATGAGAAAAATTTTAACCATTAACTTGAAATTTATATGTACATTTAATAAAATATATTGATGTTTATATATATATTTATATATATATATATATATATATATATATATATATATAAACTCGAAGGACGAACAAGTTATTGAATAAATAAATAAAATATTATTTAGTTTTATAGATATTAGTAGCATTAATTAACTTTCAAAGATTTTTAAGTAAGAATTGATTATACTAAAAAAAATCACTATAAAACATTTCATTTAAAGTAAATTATATTGTTATTTCATTTTAATAGTAAGAATATGTATTATATTATAAATACATGCTAATATTTTGCCTAAACTAAATTCATATGCTAATAGTGATTTTGGATTTTAGCTTCAAAACAAATCTTAATTAATTCCCAGTTTTTTTTTAATTATAGAGACAACATTGGAAATAATAATTGCTAAAACCCAGGTTAATTTTGAGTTATTTACTTTATTTTTCAAATTTATTTAACTCATCAAAAATTAATTATTACCCTATGCATGTCCATTATAAATAAATACAAATATTTCATCCAATTCAATTGATATAAACAATCATAATTGAACATGATAAATAAAAAAAAATCATGAATACACTAAAAATTTATTCAAAACCACATACACATCAATATATATTTACCATTCGCAATTCAACAAAGCAATTCACAAAAATCATTCAAAAACAAATAATTCACATATGGAGGCTAAAATTGATCTTTATGAAAGGGGTTGGAACTTGATTAGAGAGGCTAATATTTTTTAAAATATAAAAATAAATAGATTCTCAATCCGATGTGCCATTGGAGCAGGAGGTGCGTGAACAGACCGCAGCGTAGAAGACTTCTTTCTCTTTCTATTGGTGGTGGCAGTGACAGTCACCTCCACCTGAGTTAGACTACAGGTCTCATGAAATTCCGGCGAAAAGTTAAAGTTCCATTTCAATACTCTGTAATTGGTTTTTCATACTTCTGTTTCAAGGGAGGTTGATTTTCTGTAATACATGTATCATAGTTACAATCCATAATGCCCAAAACCTACGTAGTTTTGATCTTTTTATAGTGAAATGATTTTGGTTTAGACAATAATTGAAGAAAAAAATCATCGGGGCCGGCTAACCAGTTAGATCTCTTTCGAGCTTGACATAATTAATCTAGATTTGATCGAATTAATTTTTAATTCAGTTCAAAATCAAAATTCAACCCAGATCAATTCCGAGCTAGTAGAATATCGAATCTCACCACTAAATTTAACAATTATTACATATGTAATGGATGCTTCTATACTACGAGAATATCAAATTGGCAACCAGCTACGTCAGGAGCGAGAGACAAACGATCTGCTAAGAAGCACCATGGCCTCGCATAATAGTAAGATTTTCCTGTAAAATGACGTCGGATCCCATCACCCCCTAGGGTTGTGACAAAATGGAATAGTTTGCTCAGCAACCTATGCTAAACCCACCACAAACCATGTGTACGGACTGTACAAGGAAACAAGAACATAAGGTATCTTTTCCAACGAGAGTGTACCCTTCTTGGCTGGAAAGAACCATTCACTGTGTTTCTGGAATATTACAAACCATCGTGGCTGAGGTTTGATCATATTTTAAGAAGCAATTCGATATTTCTTTTCGTGTGTGTTATTTTTAAAATCTATAATTTATAAATTTTTAAAAATCATAGCGACGGAGTTTTCGGAATGGGGACTAGAATATTATCCTGAAAATAAGAATATTTATGCAAAGGATATGAATGTATAGGCAATGGAAAACACATGCAGACATAGCTAGGTCCTCTCTCTATAAGCATCTAATTACTTCAATATTGAGGGCATTGCAAATTATTCTAGCCTTTATGGGATTATTATGTGTATAATAATACAGCACTTAATTTATTTATCAGATTATGATTTATTTTTTTGGAAACTTGGGATAAAGTTTGTCTCTTTGGTTCTTTTCATGCAATAATATTTCGTAATCTGCTTTATCTTTCATAATAAGATGCCCATTTGGCATTGTTTAGCACAAGTTCCATTCCTCACAGAACTAGCCTTTACTTTCTAAAAAGATTTAAAGGGGCAAAAAAAAGAAGAAATTATAGATATAGCTGCTAGCTAGCTAGCCTCTTTCCTAGCTATCTTAGGGTATATTATGATTACAAGCTTTTTGGAATGATGTTGGATATAGCTATTAGAATAATAATAAAAATAATGGTAATAATAAAATATGTTTTTTGGGTAAAAGTAAAAGATTTGGAACTCGAAATCTTTCGAGAAATAAAAAGGGATTAATAAATTCAGTTTTAATAAAGAAAAGACAAACTGGTTCTATCTATGTATATATTTTTTCTAATACATTAATAGCTTGTTTTGTAGTATAATTATTGTTATTTTTCAAGTAAATTTTTATATCATAATACATATATCATAATACATGTTAATAATTTTTTTTAAAAATTATTTTTAATATCAACATATTAAAATAATTTAAAAATATTAAAAATATATTAATTTAAGATAAATAAAAAAATAAAAAAAATTTAAATTTTTTTAAATATTTTTAAAACACAAAAACAAACAAACTGACCTTCAAAAAATAAATCTTTGAATTTGTTATTCAATAACCTATTTTTAATCTCACATATTTAACATTCTTTTACCTATTTCTTCATGTATATTTCATAAATTTTAAGTCACTTTCTTGGAACCGCTTCATTAATTGAGATGAAGCACAAGCTTCGTGTACTTATTCACAACTCAAACATGAAATTATAGACTAAGTTTTCCATGTCTTGTCTATCAGAAAAATATTTATTTCATGCAGCTTAAGAAGATTTTCTTGCTTCGATCTCTCTCTATTCATTTATTTTTTGTATGTGGAAGTTAAGAAGAGCTTCGCTTCATTATTTTCCCCATCATTGTGGTATTTGATATTTTTCATTGGCAAAGATTTGGTATACCAATAATATAATTCTGGAATTCTAAAAATACAACAAAAAGTTGATGATGAAATCTCAAAAAGTTAAAAGGGATATACATATTCCGAAGTAGAATAATGATTTTTTTTTAATTCTCCCAAAACCCAAATATATATTGAAAAATAAAAAATAATACATTAAAACTAATTAGTGTTTTACCGTGTCATATTAGACAATTCATCGTGGATTATCACAATGAATTGTCTTGTTTGTCTTTCTCTACATAAAACAATTGACTAACTTATCGAATAAAATTATCTTTTTTAAGTGATGCAATGATCACTTGTAAATGGATTGGGGATGACTTAGTCAATTTACTTCTCTCTCTTTTTTTTGTCATAGACTTAATTTTATCATTTTATATTAAATTATTGTATATTAATCTTTGTGATTTGTTCTATTTTTTTTATGGAATTATCCCTACCTTATATCTCGGGTCGTGGGTTAGTTAAATTAACCTAACTAGGTTAAATAAGATTTTTAAAAAAATTAATTTTTTTAATTTTATTATTTGGCATTAAATTATTGATCTTGAGCTTAATAATTTTTTCCATTTTTCTTTATGTTGGGTTATTTTAAGTGAGGGTTAGTCAAGTTAACATGTGTTGGTTTTTTTGTTTTTTTATTGATTTAACTTTGATCTTTTGTACTAGATCTTTTTATTAATTTAGTTTTTTAATAGTAGTTTCATATCATGCTTGGTAGTTTAATAGAGTTGCTTAAGTTAAATTGAATTTTTGTATTTGATATATTTTTATGAGAATAATTTTTTTTTTTTATCATTTGAGGTTAGGTTATTAGACCTTAAATTTTATGATTTTATTTCTTGTTTTACAGAGTTATTTTGATCTCATATCATGGATGACGTATTGATCAATTCAACATGGATTTACTTTATTATCATTCATATATTTTTATTTATTTTAAAAAAAATATATTACAATATAATATAATTAAAATAAAAGATCATATACAGTGAGATTGATGATTTTTATTTTATATTTTTTCCCTTTTCAAAAAAAATAATTCATTCCAAGATATACCGTACTCCTTCCATTTTCGATGGAATATATAAATATATATTCCGTACTCCTAAAATGAAGATGGTTATTACGTGGGTATAGTAACACATTATGCTTATCCTTGTCTTTCTTTAGAAGGTTCAAACTTTTCTTTTGATAAATCCAGATCAGAGAATCCATCGATGTCATTCATTTGTTTTTCTTGAATATGGGTCTCCATCTTAGCTTTCATTAATATCGTGTGGCTACTAAATGATATAAAATCTTTATTTTAACTTAAAAGGATTGATTTATTGCTTAAAAATATATATTTTTTATTTCTTAGATTTAAATTCTAAAATCCACATTTGAATATATGAAAGGTGTGTTCTAAAAATTAAAATAAAAAAACTTAATCTCACTTACGCATACAAGATATAATTAATTTCTCGTCGAATAAAAATTCTTTTTTTTTTTTTGCCAAGCTATAACAGGAGCATATATCTATAAATGTCTTTCAACATAACATGCCAATAAATGATGTGAATCCAAACTAGTTAGACGAGCTCAAGAGAACTTGAAAAACAATCTTGCAATTGTTTTTTATTTTATAAAACAAAAGACAAAACTACAGACAAAAAAACAGTTC